GTCTCCATACACGACTACTACACATCCATAAAATCCTTATTGGAAAATCTACGCTATAACTTAGCGAATTCATTCACCCCGCTGTCAAACCAAAGAAGCCTAAGACGTCCATCTAAATTGCCTTTTAACTATCCCTAGAACAGGAATTGGAATTGGTGACAAAAGCCGTTGCCGTTGCAGCGCCAACGTTTTGGCACGACCCTGTTTCCTCCCTTAACAGCGTAAATCTTTCTTCAAGAAACATCTTGATGCAGAAGATTAGTGCTGCTGGATACATCCACTTTTGCGAATGTGATTTGGAACTTTGAGCCTTACCTGTGTATCGATAGTTACATTTTAATGTGCCGTTTTATTGAGGGACTACTGAGTGTTATCATGGTGTGGTTTCTGTTTTTTTTTGTTTTGCTGCCTTGCCCAAGGTTGCATTTGGTGTTGAAAAATCGGCAGGAATTGATGCACTTATGACATTTGCACTGATAATATTTTACCTATTTGTATTTAGTGACTTGCTTTACCTTTCCTGCACTGTGGACCCCTATCGGTTTGCATCTTGTTTCTTGTTATAATCTGCTGACCCGCCCCTACTGGACATTTGTAAAAAAAAAAACAGCGTCATAGCTCATCGGATTCTTCCAGTCTCAATAAACATTCTGAAGTTTGACCACTGGATTGCAAGTACAGTGTGCCCACCATTACACCATGGTCGCATTCCACAATTCATGAAATAGCACGGAAGAGCTCTTGACTCTTGCGGTCTCCAATATTCATCTGCAATCCCCTATGCCATTTCTATCGGGCAATACGGCAAGTAGAGAAGTTCCACTGTTACATTAAACACATTCCTGCGGAGGGAGCTGGTAGGAACGTTGGGTTGCTCGGTCAATGGCCAGGGTCAATGGCGGCACCACGTGGTGTATTCCGCAAATATGCCCGACTGTGAGGGCGGGCACAAGCCGGCGTGAGTAGGTTAAACGTTGAGTTTTATAAGGGCACCACGGGGTGACCAGTCCCTCCCCACCCAGCCCCACCCCTCCCAGCCCCACCCTCCCCACCCAGCCCCTCCCCACCCTCCCCACCCAACCCCTCCCCACCCTCCCCACCCAGCCCCTCCCCACCCAGCCCCTCCCCACCCAGCCCCTCCCCACCCTCCCCTCTCCACCCAGCCCCACCCCTCCCATTTTTGGATGCACGACGGACGGACGGACACAATAATCCCCTGTGGGCTGGTGTCACCAGGAGGTTCCTACCAGTATAAGCTAAATTATTTTATATAGGTGCGCATTACGGTCACTTGGACATGTTAGCCACGTTATTTTGGGTTTCTTAAACAAAACTATTTAAGTCGGATGCGTCCATAGGCAAGAGCCTACTGCGGTTGCTGGTTGTGTTTGTACGACTCTAGGCATTACCATTGCAGACAGCAGGCCACGAATCTATCCACTGATGTCATGGGTCCCCATTGACGTTTAGGCCAAGAATCACGGTGAACCTGCATCATAATTTACACCGGACTACATTCATTGACATTGTAATCCCAACAAGCTGCACCGTGATGTATGGACTACATAAAGTTGGCGAATGCAGCTTATGACGGAGGCCAAAAGAGAAATAGAAAGTGTATTAAATTTTGATTTAAAGCTGTCGTGACTGCAGGGATTCATATTCTTGGTTCTTTCGGTAAAGTCACGTAGAAGGGAAATTTTGAAAAAAATTATTGTTGTGGTTTTCACACCTGATGATGATTGCTTGTGTTGCAGTCGAAACGTCGTGAGAATTTTATTGTTTTATATTTTTATTATGTTATTGTTTCCCTTCTACGTGACTTTACCGAAAGAACCAAGAATAGAAAGTGTATTATTTACAAACGTGCTATTGTTATTTTTTAAGGCACAGATGAATCACTTCTGAGAAAAGTAATTCCACGACGAACCAGTGAGTCCCAGCAACCACACGTGCTTCGGGTATGTTTGGGTAAATGCTAATGTAGTTGTTCCACTAATTTCATGAATACCAATATATGAACGCCTGCATCTGCCAGCCCTCACGCCTCGCCCCATACGCTCACTTAGGACCCGGCTGCCTTATCCTGGATTCACCTGCAGAGGCCAAGAATAATGTCTCAGTTACACACCAGGTCCAGTGTGCCGCGAAGCTTTCCCAAGGGGGGAAATGCGCCTCGGCGTGGGAGAGACGTTTCTCAACGTGACGGTTAGAATATTTACAAAGGCAATAACAATGCTAATGATGATTTGAAGCTTTCGTGACTGCAGGAATCCATACTCTTTGGTTCCTTCGGTAAAGTTACGTAGGTATCAAATAAAATAAATCACGACGTTTCGGGCGCAACACAAGCGTCATCAGGTGATGTCGGACGCTTGTGTTGCGCCCGAAACGTCGTGATTTATTTTATTTGATACCCACGTGACTTTACCGAAAGAACCAAAGAGTATAATTCTAATGATGCTTTCTGTTTGAGTCCATTGAATTACGTTCGCCTTAATTTCACTCTGCACGGGGAAGCGGCGTGGAAGGAACTTGGCAGGGCGTGGCAAGGGGAATGTGTGGCGAGGAATGAGAGCAGGTTGGACCAGATGCTTCCAGCGTCCACGTGGGAGCTCCAGTTTCACGGCAGCTGGGCAATTACCTCGCGAATGTGTTTTTATTTGTGTCTGAATTCGATTGAATTGTTTCGATTTGATTTCGCAAATTCCAAGTCGAAGTTCACGACAATGAGCACCCTTTTGTTCGGTTTGCGTGTGTGCATACATCAATAAAAAGGAGTCGTGTTCGCGGTGGACATTGCTTGCCATTAAGAGAGTTGTCACCCATTCTGTTAGTGTTTTTTTAACCCTCTGGAGGTGGTAATCCTACTTGGCATAAGATGAAAAAGCTTGCAATCACCATCACAATGAAGAAGATAACCTATGGTGACTGCAGGAATTCATATTCTTGGGTTTTTCGGTAAAGTCACGTAGATAGGTTCAAAGAAAATAACAAAAAAAACTACAACGTTTCGATGGCAACACAAGCAACAGCCACACAGTTCACGTAGGATCTGAAAAATGGAACTTCACGGTGTAGTAAATGAAACAAAATGACACGCACCTGAAAAGTAGTATTTAGCATTGGTGTAGCATATTCAAGGATCTTGCACCCACCAACAACTGCCTAACAATCCTTATGGCCACGTCACAATCGCCGTGGTGTTAACTACCTTTTTTTTGGCAAATGCACTCGCGTCATAGGTAATTAATGAATAATATCGCTATTTGCAGTAAGACTTTGTCGAGTTTATTGCAGTCTTTCACGACTGCAACATCTAACGAGGGTAACTTTACACAGAGGACCATGCAACGATCGTGCGATGCTGTATATATCGTCACTCCACCCCCACACCTCCCAATTGGTGATAGGGCAATTGTGGAGAGAGTGGAGAGTTTCTCATACCTGGGCAGTGTGCTCATGACCGGCTCCGGTTTGACAGCAGAGGTCTCACTCCGAATCAATCGAGCAGCATTATCTTTTCATCGTAACGCTTTGTGGATGCTACCTGGTCTGTCGCTCCGCACGAAGGTTCAGGTCTTCTCAGCCACAATCATTCCCTCCCTTCTCTACGCTTGCGAAAAGTGGACCCCCCTAATGGAACATCTTCGCCGGTTAGAAACATTTAGGCTGTCCTGCCTACAATCCATCCTCGGTTTAACCAGGCTCGATTGTGTGAGCTCACAAATCCTTGAAATATCTGGACAAAGCCCTATTAGTGAGTTCCTCGGCAGGCAAGGCTGTGTTGGCTGGGTCATATAGCCCGCATGCCCAGCCACCGAATCCCTAAACAGCTTTTGTTCATCTTCTTGTTCAGCCGAATTGAGGGGGCTAAACGGGCGCAGCATGGGCTAGAGAGGAGATTGGAGTGATGTGGTGCAAGAGGATGTGGAGCTGAGTGGACCTGCCGATGACTGGTACCAGTGGTGTCAAGATCGGCCTCTGTGGAGGAGGCTCGTGAAGGACGCTGCCGCTGCTGGGCAGTTGGAGGCAGTCGCCCTCCAACATACCGGTGGGCTAAAGTAGTGAACTATTTGTCTTTTGTCAACGTGACACTTTTTTGCTGATTGGCCGTGTCGGGTGGTGGAGGGTTACGACACATTTATAAATAACGCGATCTAACCCAAAAACCTTTATTATGAATAATATTGGTCGCGAAAGCCTACGTGTTAAACTGAGGTTGGCACAGTAGGGGGCACAGGTGGTGCATCAGCCAGTCATCTCAGTCAGTCGACCCGTGGCACCTGGGTCTGCCCCGTGACCTGCCAGCGGGCGTTCGACACTTCACGTGGTAGCCTCGAGGTGCACATAGCCTGGCACAAGCGTCGTGGTGACATCACCGCCACTTAGTGGCGAATGGCGGTTGTTGTTATATCGTCATATCGAGGTATCTCATTTTGCTGAAAATAAACAAACGGGTCCCCCCGTGTCACCTCTAACAACAGAACGATGGGGCACTGCAAGTTCTAATAGCGAGCACCTATTAAGGCGCGGGGTGGGTGGCAAGTTCCATGCCCGGCCGCCTTTGTCTCCCCAGTCTTTAGGTTTACGGTACTCGGTTTTTTTTTTTAGGCCGAGCCGACTTAGTGGGGTGACGGGGCGGGGAGAGGTGGTGTCCCAGGAAAGTTAAAAATAGTTGCCCGTGAGCGGGAATGGAACCCGGGTCCGTAGTCGGAGTTGTGCGCGCTAACCACTGCGCCACCGCTCCCCTCCCCCACGCCGTGGACGTCACCTTCCACGTGACTCTGCACAAAGCACGGTGCCAGTCCTTACATCGGTGCAACAGGAGACATGTGAAAAAATTGCCTTGGCTAGAACCAGTGCTGGATTATTACCATCTCAGTAGCACAAAGTAGCTACATAAGTAGCTACATATATGTAGTAACTACTACTACTACTACATATATGGTAGTATGTACTACTATGTATGTAGTAGATGCTACTACATATGCAGTAGCTACGGGCCCCGCACTTTCAAGGGCCCCGCGCTTGCTCCATTACTATAGTACTATACCGCCTTCAACTTTTATGAACGACTGGGTGTTTAAAGTTATCGCTTTGTCGTATTACCTGGCTGTATTGCAAATTACTTTACTATGCGCGAAAAACATTTGTGTTTTAATGTTTATTTTTTTATATATATTCAGGGACCCTTTCTAACATTCGCTACATGCCCCGCACGAGCTTAATCCGACGTGGAGAGTGGCTCGCACCCGCACGAGGGCCGGCACGAGCAGCGCCACGCCCGGCCGCCTTTGTTTCCCCAGCGCTGCTGTTGGCGAGCCCCGGTGCCACGTGGCGGCAGCGGCGGCAGCAGCAAGCGGCCCTTGGGGCGCACTGAGCGACCCGGAAACAAACACCGACTTGGGTGGTGCACTGCAGGAGGAGCAGCAGCAGCAGCATCATCAGCATCATCATCAGCGTCAGTGTTTGTCAGCGGACGAGGCTCGCGCGTTCACGGCTCTCTCCTCTCTCTGCCTGTGGGTGACTGCTGCCCTCCCGGACTTGGCCGTCAACACTGCTGCCCCATATTCACTGCTGCCCCAACACTGCTGCCCATACTCACTGCTGCCCATACTCACTGCTGCCTGCCGCTACTCACTGCTGCCTGCCGCTACTCACTGCTGCCTGCCGGCTACTCACTGCTGCCTGCCGGCTACTCACTGCTGCCCATACTCACTGCTGCCCATACTCACTGCTGCCCCATACTCACTGCTGCCCCAACACTGCTGCCCATACTCACTGCTGCCTGCTACTCACTGCTGCCCGCTACTCACTGCTGCCCATACTCACTGCTGCCTGCCACTCACTGCTGCCCATACTCACTGCTGCCCCATACTCACTGCTGCCCCATACTGCTGCCTGCTACTATCTCATCATCATCATCCGCCTTCCTCGCCGCTGCCATACACTGGGTAACAGGCTCGGCCGCGTTGTAACCCGCAGGGGGTCTCGAGCTGCTGCTGCTGCTGCTGGTGGCTGCGGCCGAGACGGTGGTGACCGAGGCGCCGAAGGAATCTTCCGCCGACACGCCCGCCGTCCTGGGCCTCCTCGAGGTGCACCTAGCCTGGCACTGAGCGACGATGGGGACGAATCCCGAGAGCGCGGATCTCCCTCCGGCCACCGACACAGCAGGTTCCCAAGTTCGGCAGCCAGCACAGCGCCTGTCACTGCGTCTTGTCACACAGAGATCCCCCGTGTAGTCTGTAACAGACTGTAACAGACTGTAAGGGCAAGTGCTGTTAGCGAGCAGCGCCGGTGAAGGCCGGCAGGGCACACGAGGGGGTGGGGGGCCAGCACCACGCCCGGCCGCCTTTGTCTCCCCAGTGGCAATGTTTTTATCCACCGCACCAGGTACTCATTTGAGGCTGAGTCGACCTAGGGGAGGCCCGGTTCAGATAATCGTCACTGGTGTTGGCCGTGAGCGGGAATCGAACCCGGGTCGCCAGGTTTATAGCGAAGCGTAGCGCTAACCGCTACACAGAGAGAGACACACACAGAGACACACGCACAGAGACACGCACAGAGACACACAGAGACACACGCACAGAGACACACACAGAGACACACAGAGACACACGCACAGAGACACACGCACAGAGACACACACATATACACACACAGAGACACACGCACAGACACAGACAGACACAGAGACACACGCACACAGACACACACAGAGACACACACAGACACACACACACAGAGACACACACACAGAGACACACACACACAGACACACGCACAGAGACACACACACAGACACACACACGCATATACACACACAGAGACACACGCACAGAGACATACAGACAAACACAGAGACACACACAGACACACAGACACACACAGAGACACACACAGAGACACACACACAGACACACACACAGACACACACACAGACACACAGAGACACACAGAGACACACACAGACACACATACGCACACACACACAGACACACACACACACAGATACAGACACACACACAGAGACACACACACAGATACAGACACACACAGAGACACACACAGACACACACACACAGAGACACACACAGAGACACACACACAGACACACCCAGAGACAGACACAGAGACACACGCACAGAGACACACACACAGAGACACACACAGAGACACACACACACAGACACACACAGAGACACACACAGAGACACACATAGACACACACACACAGACACACACACAGACACACATAGACACACACACATAGACACACACACAGAGACACACACACAGACACACACACAGACACACACAGAGACACACATATACACACACAGAGACACACACACAGAGACACACACACAGACACACACACACAGAGACACACAGAGACACACACAGAGACACAGACACACACACAGACACACACACAGAGACACACAGACACGCACACACAGAGACACACACACAGACACACACACATAGAGACACACACAGAGACACACACACACAGAGACACACACACACAGAGACACACACACAGACACGCACAGACACACACAGAGACACACACAGAGACACACACACAGACACACACACAGAGACATACACAGAGACACACACACACAGAGACACACAGACACACACACACAGACACACACACACAGACACACACAGAGACACACACACACAGAGACACACACAGAGACACACACACACAGAGAGACACACACACAGACACACACACAGACACACACACAGACACACACACAGAGACACACACACACAGACACGCACAGACAGACACACACAGACACACACACAGACACACACACAGACACACACACATAGAGACACACACAGAGACACACACACAGAGACACACACAGACACACACACAGAGACACACACACAGAGACATACACAGAGACACACACACACAGAGACACACAGACAGACACACACAGACACACACACACAGATACACACACAGACACACACACAGACACAGACACACACACACAGACACACACACAGAGACACACACAGACACACACACACAGACAGACACACACAGACACACACACAGAGACACACACACAGAGACACACACACACAGAGACACACACACAGACACACACACACAGACACACACATAGAGACACACACAGAGACACACACACAGAGACACACACACAGACACACACACAGACACACACACACAGACACACACACACACAGACACACACAGACGCGACTATTTAGCGGGGCCTGCGTCTTCATTCTTCGTGTAATCGACTGAAGTAGTTTGTTGGGTCGCACAATGCGCGCGGCCCTAATAGTGCGTTCTGTCAAACTCCTCCTGCAGTGAAGCACTGCAGTGTTCACCGCATCACGTGCGGTACACGGCCACACACACTGCTGCGTTTCTCAACGCTGTCGTCGTGTGCATCCTACGAAAGGGATGGATTGTCCCAATGAGCTGTAATCGACGAGGGCAGAAAGGTAAACAACGCCGATGTGCCTTGATCATTTTGGCCGGTGGCTCCAGTGTACTCGCAGCGCAGTATGCGGGCACGGCCTTGACACTGGCCTAACGCATATACATACCGACGACACACACACACGGGACACCCATATCCAGCACTTGTTGTGTGCACACTTCATGCTGTACACCATCGTCGACATCCGCCACGATCGACCCCACTGCTGGATTGAAGCCTTGTCCAAGCGTGGCCATCATAGCCCTCCCTACACACCACAGCAGTGCCAACAACGTCTCTTGTAGCGACTGAAAGTAGTCTCTCACGACGCGGCATTACATACACGTGGACATTTAAACTGCACTGTGTTTGGTGTCGCATGCCTAGCCAGGTCACCATTATAAAATGAGACCCATTATAGAAACAGGGCTCTCTCTCTGTGCCAGGGGAATGCAATTCGAGAGATGTTTTTTTTTCTGTTCCCCATTTGCCGAGTGGCGTCTGTCGTGATCCAAGCGCCGCAGACCGCACCCCACGGTGCTGCATTGCAGTCGGGCCGGGCCTGCTTCGACTCGCAACGCAGTGCCCGGCAGACGCCACGAAATAAATAGACTGCCTGCCGGAGGCTGTGTCCCCCACCCCGCGTCCCACGTCTTCACACCCATGGGTTATTGTTGTTTTTTGCAGTTGTGAACTTGCGGACACGTCCGTACCTGGGATACCCGTGGAACAAAAGAGCTTGGTAGCTCATCGGATTCCACCTACAGCCCAAAGAATGATTCGGATTGAACTCAAGGGTTGATCCACATTCTACCAGAAACCCCCCCCCCCCAAAAAAAAAAAACCTCAACCTCCACTACCTAAAAAAATATGTACTGTGTATAAAAGGCGACGTTTCGGGTAATGGCCCTTCTTGTTTTTGTGTTAGGCCATACATTATTAGTTATTTTTGTGAAACGTGATTTCAAGAGGCGAAGGTATCCACCCACCCAACAACTTTCCCCGCCAAAAATGTGTTGAACACATTTTATACCGGTTCATATAAATGTTTAGATAACAGTGTGATATGTGCAGCCCTGCAATGAAAGCAACACGAAGAGAGATGGTTTTCAGGTTTAATGTCACTCAGGAGGCAGAGGAACCTCCTCCATATGAAGCAATCTTTCATATAAAAGTCGTTTTAAAAATGGCAAAAAAATGCTGCCTTTCAATCGCTCACGCCACTGCCGGCGGAATTACCTCCGCTAAAGGAAGCTCTAGAAGGTACGGTATTTGGCCTACGTTTTCCACGTGGGCCAAACGTATTGGAAGGGGTAGCAGTACCCACGCTTAACCGCACTGCACACCACCTGCCGATTGAACGTGATGCATGAGAGGATTGTACAGGTAGCGTTCGTAGTTATGCAGCGGTTCACTACCACGGAAACTCGACTTCCGCAGTGGCGAGATGTTAACTACCTCGCCAGGTACACAGGAGGTTGTGGGTTCAAACCCAACCCTGACGCCTGCTGTATATTTGGAGTTCGCACCTTCTCCCCGTTTCGATTTAAAGCTTTCGTGACTGCAAGGATTCATCTTCTTTGGTTCTTTCGGTAAAGTCACGTAGAATGAGAATAAAATAATAAATTGCGTTATTTTATTTTATCAATTTATTATTTTATTCTCATTCTACGTGACTTTACCGAAAGAACCAAAGAAGACTTCTCCCCGTTGTCGCGTGGATTTTTCTCTGGGTCCTCCGGGTTTTCCCTCCGCATTTAGAAACGTGCATCTAGAGTATTTGGCTGCTTTAAATTTCCGTACAATGATAAGCCGCTTCGTTGAGATATCTTTTGTGGCCAGGTAGCTTCTGAAAAAGAGCTATGTAACTCAGTGGGCCTTACCTGTACAAATAATCTAAAAAGTTTAGTTTTAGGTTTAAATTTAGGGTCACCAATTCATTTCAGAATGAATTGTTTTTAAATGTTACCATCACATTCGTTCATTTTTGAGTGTACAACCTTTAGTTGGTTATCAAACAAAGCGCTTGAGTAATTATCGTAGAGTCTAGCAACGGCTCATTATGATCAGAAAAATCCAGGATCAAAGTATTTGTTATTCAGTTTGACCTATGTGTTACGTATAATGTTTAACCTCGGTCAAACTACTGACCAAAATTGAGAAAATGCAGGGGTAGAGGAGTGGCCAATGGGAGAGGGGCAGGGCCAGTTGGGGAGTGGCTAGAGGTGATGGGCAGAAAGGGCAGGGCCAAATTCTGGTGAGTGACATCTGGTGAGTTGCATGTGACGAATGAAGTTCCCATGCATAGGGATAGGGCTACCCTCTAGTACTGTAGAGGCGGTCACGACACAACATACCAGAGAGTGCTGTGGAGTAATCAAATGAATGAGTGGACGATGATTTGGAAAGAATTTTCTGTCGGATATCTAATTACATGCATGGCTGTGGACCACGTAACATCTGGTGCTACATATTCCGACCCTGACGCTTGCTGTATATTTGGAGTTTGCGTGTCTCTCTCTCTCCCCGTGGTGGCGTGGAACTTTCTCCGGGTCCTCCGGTTTTTCCCTCCACATTTAGAAGCATGTGCTTCGAGTATTTGGCTGCTATAAATGTCCACGTGATTAAGCCACTTCAGCTATCATTTGTGGCCAGGTCACTTCTGAAAAAGCTTCGTAGCTCAGTGGGCCTTACCTGGTAAAATAAAAAAATAGTTTTATGGCATACATCACAAATTGTTCTGCGGAAGAAGCTCTCTTGCTTGTGCTCCTTGTTTCGCTTGATGCATTACAACTACGTGCTTTGTGACTCGCCGAATTCTAGGTGGCACACGGGTTCAATGTTCTGCAAAAGGTGGACCTCATTTCCAGGGCTCTGTTGACACCTTGCACTGTGTGGTCGATGCTGTCTGTAGTGGCCACTCCTCAGGGAGAACTTGAGCGGCCCACGATGGAGAGCCTGCTCCAGCGAGCCAACGAGCAAGATGCACATGCCCAAATAGAGGTGAGCTTGGGGTTGGAAGGGACTTCACTGCATCATGGGGCACCGTGGTGGCAAGACGTTAACTACCTCACCTGGTGTGCAGGAGGCCGTGGGTCTTATCGCGACCCTGACGCCTGTATATTTTTGAGTTTGTGTGTCTCTCTCTCTCTCTTGTCTCCCCGTGGTCACGTGGATTTTTCACGGGGTCCTCCGGTTTTTCCCTCCACATTGAGAAACGTGCGTTTCTAGTATTTGGCTGCTATAAATTTCCACGTGATAAGCCACTTCTTTGGGCTAGCATTTGTACCTAGGTTGCTTCTGAAATAGAGCTATATACCCCAGTGGGCATTACCTGGCGAAATAAAAAAAATATAGTAGTTTAGTTTAAAAACGGTTATTGTACATATTTTGATCTATTAATCGTAATCATGAAATCAAGTTTTCTTCCAAATCATGCTCACATTCAGAAGGGCATAGCGCCAAGTAATTGAATGCCGCACGAAGATGGCATCCAGGGCCTTCCGTTGTTGGGATTGGTTGGCCGCGTCGCAGCCATTCGGTCAGCCAGGTGGTCATGGTGCACGCACGATTGGGGTGGAGTCACAGCGGCTCTCACCTGTGTGTGACGACGCTCAGCAAGGGGTCGGTTTGTCTTTATTTTGTTGGCCGGCCACCGTTTATTCCACTGGGTGGCACGGTTTTCCATTGAACTTCATACAACCGACTCACAAGAAAGAACAGCCGAAGTGCGCGCACACGCGCCTAACACCCACTTGTGCACGTTTCCAAATTCGCACAAACTTAGAAGGTTGCCTCAGCCACCACCGAGGCTGTTTGGGACGGCCTTCTGGATACGGATGAATGTCCCCCACTATAGTAGCTCAGATTTCACTCTTGGGATGTTTTTCTGGCCTTGGTTATGCTTTTGGGTTCTGAAGATTGGTGTGGAGCCCTTAGGCCCATCACTCCCCTCAAACCAAAACTCCAGAGAGCTCCACCTTTATCACGAAAGTGATCTCTCGCACCACTTCCACCGGCCACCAGACGGCACCCCGCGTCAGCTCACCACAATTGAGCACTTTCGCCAGATGTATGTATGTGTATGTATGTTGAACTTCTTTCGCACTGTACGAAGCCAACTGTGCTGATCGGAGGTGCGGGGGAAGGACAACAAACTAAATACAAAAAGCAAGTTCTAAAGCAATGAGTTTTCAATCTAGATCTCATGGCTGTCCAGTAGCTTCCTAATATCGGAAGGAAGACCGTTCCAGACGGCTGATGGCCGGCCAAAAGCCGCTGCGAAGATGACCGGAGTTCGGGTGATGGTTTATGTTCCTTGACGAGATCAGCGAGGTATTGTGGTTCATTTGTGGCAAGCACTTTGTGTGTAAATGAGTGCGACCTTATCATGAATTCGTTCGGCAACCGGAAGCCAATGCAGCTCGGCGAGCACACGGACGGACACAGTCGGATCTTGCAGCGCCCTTCACGACACGTGCCAATAACTCAACACCATCCAGGGCTCCAGTTCACCAACGCTTCACTCACCCGTCCCCACAGACGGAAGGGTTCCGCTTCAACACGTTTGGCAGCACACTGTAGCACCACTTCCTTCTTGCCACAGGGGGCAGCTCATGGCTCTCCGCCTGATGATGCGAGTTGTAATTGCTGGCGAAACGTTATACTCCAATTGTAAATGTTGTGGGTTTACTCTCCAACACACCAGTGTGCTGAACGAGTAACTAATTGAGATGCTTTGTTTACATGACAAACCTTAGTAATTTACTGTGTCGGGTGGTGGCAGGTTTAATGACACTAATTTTCACGCGATCTAACCCAAAACCTCTTCTGCAAAATAGTGGTCGTGAAAGCCTCCAGTGTATTAAAGCTCCTCCTGCTACTTGTGCTGAACCCTGCCCTGCTCCTGCTCTTGACCCTACTCCCTGACCCTGACAGCCACAAATCTACACAGGGATTCCCTATCACTTCAAGGACCCTGGCTTACAGCATAACACATTCCTGCGGAGGGAGCTGGTAGGAACGTTGGGTTGCTCAGTCAATGGCCAGGGTCAATGGCGGCACCACGTGGTGTATTCCGCAAATATGCCCGACTGTGAGGGCGGGCACAAGCCGGCGTGAGTAGGTTAAACGTTGAGTTTTATAAGGGCACCACGGGGTGACCAGCCCCTCCCCACCCAGCCCCACCCCACCCAGCCCCACCCCTCCCCACCCTCCCCTCCCCACCCAGCCACTTCCTACCCTCCCCTCTCCACCCAGCCCCACCACTCCCATGTGGACAGACATCCACAGACATACACAATTAATCCCCTGCCTCCTGTGAATTAATCCCGGTTGGGCTTCCAGTCCATATAAGGGCACCACGGGGTGACCAGCCCCTCCCCACCCAGCCCCACCCCACCCAGCCCCACCCCTCCCACCCCCCACCCAGCCCCACCCTCCCCACCCAGCCCCTCCCCACCGTCCCCTCCCCACCCAGCCCCTCCCCACCCAGCCCCTCCCTTCCCTCCCCTCTCCACCCAGCCCCACCCCTCCCACGTGGACAGACATCCACAGACATACACAATCCCCTGCCTCCTGTGAATTAATCCCGGTTGGGCTTCCAGTCCACTACGTTTCCTACCAGTATTAAACTGCACTATATCAATATGCTCGGTGGCTGTTGAGCCGACTCTGCCCGGCTTCAATCCCCCGCCGCTGCGTTTCTCCGCTGCCGGCAGTTGTTGGTGTCTCGGAGTCCTCTGCTTGCTCTGAGCTCTCCTTTTCAACACGGCCCCGAGCCATCCCTAGTGTTTGAAAAGCATGCCAAGTTGGCCAGTGGTGAGGAAGCAGTCAATCCCCTGCTCGGGAGACGAGTCATTCCCCCTCCACACGTGCAATTCCAATGAGTGATGCTGCACTTCTCCCGCAATTGTTACTTAAGCGCATCACAGCTACTGCACATCCCCCACGTGTGCAAGTTAAGTCCATCACAGCAACTGCACTTCCCCCACGTGTGCAAGTTAAGCCAATCACAGCCACTGCACTTCCCCACGTGTGCAAGTTAAGCCCATCACAGCTACTGCACTTTCCCCACGTGTGTAAGTTAAGCCAATCACAGCTCAGTCACATGCCCGCATGCATCTTTTAACCAATGGGTGTTCTGGCCATCACTGTATGGTCAATTGTGGCGGTCATCCCAGTGTCCAAACCTGCCCACCCTCCGAGTAGGTACCGCGCAACGGCCTCGCTTGCCCAACTTCATCACATTGTGCTCCTTCGTGCCGGGTAAAATATTCACTGCACTTCACTGGACCGCTGTATTTGACACAGTGTAGTCTTCACAACTGGGATATGTGAAAGCGTGTCATACAGTAATTGTTCATTGGGCCATGACCATCAATTCACCACCAACTACGAGACGTTGTTTGCTCACGAGTGGCTGCTGCCCGGATTAAAACTCGTGTTCCCAGGAGTGCCAGATCAATGTTGTCACCAGCATATTTGTCCCCTTAACCACGCATTCATTATTCTTCACAAACTATGTTTCAAATGCTTTCTCAGTATCTTTGAACTATGCAATTGGATTTTAAAAAAAGTTGCACAGATTTGACATGTTTTCACTTTATCAAAGTTGAACCAAACAAGTTTAGGATGGCTTTGTTGGTTGACATTTATTTTCAACCAGACAAGATCCCTTTGAGACCGGAAGCCTCTTCCTCAAGATATAAAATAATTTATCATTTACAGCACCATGTTATTCCGTAGGCCTCCCGCATATTTTCAGTCATGGGAGTTGTTTGACCATACTTCACGATGGTTGTTGTGAAGAGGGTATCCAGGAGCAGTTAAGATATTGCTCGCAAGAGGCATGGCATGATTAATCCATGTAAATAAGTTTTACACTCATGGTACGTGCCTTAAATCGCACGCATAAAATGATACTTCCGTACAAAATTGTGTGATATTGCTGCATTAAAGCTAGAAGTGCAAAGATAATCGTTTCAAAAGAGACAGAAATTCAAGAAATAACACATGAGATGGTAAACAGCATAATACAAAATATAACTGATTCTTGAATCAAATCAAAACTCCAGATCTGGACAACGTATCCAATAATTGCTGGGGGGAAGAGAGTAAATCATTGTATGCCTTGTTGGCAATGAGAATATTTGTTCATAAACATGTGAATTAATCTGTGTTCATTAAGAGAAAAAAAAACACGTACCTTGAATTGCAGGCGCCGTGTTATCCATATAGAGGGGTTTTTTTTGGGTTAGATGGTGTAAATGTAAATGTGTCATGAACCCACCCCCACCCGACACAGCCAATTAGTAAGGTTTTTCACGTGAACAAAACGTGTCAATTAGTTACTACTTCAGCACACCGGTGTGTTGGAGAGTAAACCCGAGTTAATGACACATTTATATTAGCGCGATCTCACCCAACAGAAAATACGACTATTGCTAGACTATTGCTACGTGTTCTAGATTTAAACCTTTCGTGACTGCAAGGATCCAAACTCTTTGGTTCTATTCGGTAAAGTCACGTAGGTAAAAAATTTAACAACAAAATCACGACGTTTCGACCGCAACACAAGCGGCCTTCATCAGGTGAAGGGACCAACCTGTCCAGAGGACAGCGTTGGAGTGAAAAAAAAAGTCCAGCGCAGGTCGCCTCCTTTAAGCTGTGAGTGGGTAAACAGAAAAGACGCCTTGACAAAGGAATTAGCATAAAATGTAAAGCTGTGCAAGCTCGCAAATAGCATCACAAATACATTAGCACCACCGTGAGAGTTTGGGATGCCACTAATTCACTCCAACGCTGTCCTCTGGACAGGTTGGTCCCTTCACCTGATGAAGGCCACTTGTGTTGTGGTCAAAACGTCGTGATTTTGTTGTTTTATTTTTTACCTACGTGACTTTACCGAATGGAACCAAAGAGTATTGCTACGTGTTATGCATTGTTTGCACTCTTCCTCTGACATCGACCGTCAACCTCGCGATGTTCACCCCAGGTGGCCAAGCAATACTTGAAGAAGGCGGTGGAGTCGGGCAACGAGGATCACAACAGGACTGCCGTCGGGTGGCTGATCAAGGCGGCCACCGAGGGGAAGAAGGATGCCGCCAACTTGCTCCAGCAGTGCGTGCGGCTCAACAAAGGTGGCCACGCGTCGCGTCACGAGCGAACCCCCATTGGCGTTTCTCCTCCCACGTGGAGAAGACACACACACATTGAATAATTAGTTTGATTGATTAAATGATGTATCTCTACCCCTGTAGCCATATAATGTATGTGCGTATGTGGCTGTAACAGCAGACGTCTCACTCCGAATCAGTCGAGCGGCAATATCTTTTTATCGGTTGCGTAACGTTGTGTGGAAGCTACTTGGTCTGTCGCTCCACACTAAGCTTCAGGTCTTCTCGGCCACGGTCATTCCCTCCCTTCTCTACGCTTGTGAAACGTGGACCCCCCTAATGGAGCATCTTCGCCGGTTGAAAACATTTAGGCTGGCCTGCCTACGATCCATCCTGGGTTTAACCAGACTGGATTTTGTGAGGAGCTCACAAATCCTTGAAAGATCTGGGCAAGGTCCCATCGGTGAGCTCCTCCGGCGGGCAAGGCTGCGATGGCTGGGTCATGTAGCCCGCATGCCCAGCCACCGCATGCCGAAGCAGCTTTTGTTCGCCCGGATTGAGGGGGCTAAACGGGCGCGGCACGGGCTAGAGAAGAGATGGAGTGATGTGGTACAGGAGGACGTGGAGCTGGTGGACTTGCCGATGACTGGTACCAGCGGTGTCAAGATCGGCCTCTGTGGAGGAGGCTCGTGAAGGACGCTATTGGGCAGTTGGAGGTAGTCGCCCTCCATCAACAACGGAGGGCGGAGGAGCGACGCTCACAACGAGCGGAGCGCCGGATGGCTAAAGCACAGCAGGTTGGCACAGTAGGGGGTACAGGTGGTGCATCAGCCAGCCATCTCAGTCATCTTAGTCAGTCGACCCGTGGCACTTGGGTCTGCCCCGTGACCTCCTGCCCGCGGGCGTTCGACACTTCACGTGGCCTCAAGGTGCACATGGCCTGGCACAAGCGTCGTGGTGATGTCACCGCCACTTAGTGGCGAATGGCGGTTGTTGTTGTACGTAGGGCGTGGTGGTGTAGCCTTTAGCGCTACGCTGCTACGCTACGAACCCGGCGACCCAAGTTCGATTCCCGCTTACGGCCAACACCGTTGACGATTATCTGAACCGTTCCTCGGCCTCCCCTAGATCAACTCACCCTGAAATGAGGACCTGGTGCGGTGTGTAAACATCACCACTAGGGACACAAAGACAGTCAGGCATGGTGTGCTGGCCACCCACCCCCTCACGTGCCGTGCCGGCCTTTATCGGTGCTCGAAAGATTCTTGTCTTGTACGTTAAACGTCTTTTGCACCATACGTAGCCAACCGTGCTAATCGGAGGTGCAGGATAAGAGTTACTGGGGCAAATATGAACGCAACCTTATTTGAAGTTACATTTGTTAACTGCAAATTTAAATGTTTCCCAACCTGATTCCTCTTCACAAGTGTCACCCTGAGGAGGCACCGTGTGGAATTTAGATTTTATTTAAAAAATGTAAGTTGTTTTCTCTCACACGATCGGTGATTTAGCGGTATAAAGCAAATCATGCGTCCTATCTGGAACTTTCTACAGCAGATAAGTCACATGTATGTGTATGTATGTTGAACTTCTTTTCGCACCGTACGTAGCAAACCGTGCTAATTGGAGGTGCGGGAATGGGCCAACGTGCAGCGGGCACGATGTTACATCGTGTGACAGTTTGGTAACGGGGGAGTGGGAGGGGGGGGCTATCACATCATCGCTAGAATGTGACTTGTTCGGTATTGCCGAAGAGTGACAGTGTCACCCTGTGCTTGTAACCCTAACCCGCCCATAGGGTTGGGCCCTGATTAAGACGTCACTGTTTGACGGCCCATGTGTTCCACAGAGTGACACAACAACAAGTTGTGTAAGGTGAAACCTTGGATTTTGCGAGTAACTTGGTCTGCGAGTGTTTTGCAAGACGAGCAAAAAAATGTTTAAATAAATATTTAATTTGATAAACGAGCGAGGTCTTGCAATACGAGTAGTAGTACGTATTCGCTTTGTCTGCCGAGCGTCACGTGATCACAACTGATATACGTTGTGCTTTGATATACGAGTGCTTTGGATTACAAACACGTTTCCGGAACGAATTATGCTCGCAATCCGAGGTTTTACTGTATTCTATATATGTATCAGAAATAAAAAAAAAGAACATTCAAAATGTTGTCTAGCCCGACTGAGAGGTTTGTTTTGCCTCTTTATTCACTAAATACAAAGAATAGCCTTGAAGTGTCCAGTTTGTTGACCACTGCATCGCGCTCTTTCAGATGCGCTCTGGGGCCATCTGGAATGCTCTTCCTTCCGATGTTAGGAAATTCACTGGAGCTGTGCACTTTTAAATCATTTCTTTAGAACTGCTTTTCGTGTTTAGTTTGTTGTCCTTCATCCGCACCTGCAATTTAACACGGTTGGCTACGTACGGTGCGAAAGAAGTTCAACGTACGTACGCACTTCCAAGTGACGGCATGAGGCGAGGCATTTGTGAGTCGTGCGGCTCACCTGTGTCCCGCCAGGTGAGCGCACACGTACTGCGTGTGCGCCATGCTTCTCTGCTGCCAGGCGTCGGGCCCGCACGTGGCCACGCAGGCCTCGAGCGACACGGCGCTGGAGATACTCGTCCACTGTGTTCGGAGCCTGACCCGGATGCTCAGAGTCACGACCCCCCTCCCCCCCCCCCCCCCTCCCCCTTGTGAGTGTCGTCCAGTGCGGTCGGTGCTCTCGGCTGGACTGAGCAGCTGAGCGTTCCACCTTCTCAACATTATAAACACATCTTCGTCACATTATCTACTTAATTACTTAAACCTCGTTCACATTATCTACTTAATTACTTAAACCTCGTTCACAAGTTCCTACTTTGGGAATCGTTCCCTGCTTTTATGTGAATGCCTGACCACTGTTACAGAGTTTGGAGACGCAGTTGTGGGAATGGCGCCGTATAGAATTTAATAATTATTGCAATTATATTGCGAGTAAAATGCTCCTCGCAAAAATTGCTCAAACGAAAACGTTATCTATTTGTCAACCAAACATGTACCCGCTCCACGTTTTGCCATTACCGTTGAGTGTGACGTTACACTGATGGTTATGAAGACGAGGCGGTTGGTATATGATCTGAATGTAAATTTATCTCGGAGCCTGAAGACGTCTGAATGCTTCAACGTCAAAAGTGGCTGTAATTGCACCTAACGAATGGGTGTACTGCCTATTGTGCATGTCTCCCTGGGGTGAACTTTTTTTCGTTCTCACATTAATACAACGTGACAAGTCTGCTGTGGCCACTGCCAGTGATGGGATTTAGCGGAATTAATGCGTAAAAGAAACGGGTGGCTTTAAACCCATTAGTAGACTATGGCGGCAAAGATTGCATTGGTTACAGTGTATACCAGAGGCGATTGAGAAGATGTTTGTGATAAGTGCTAAACAAAGTAATGAACGGACGCGGTGAACCGTTTTACATGGAGCTAACTCATGCACACCCAGTTGTGTGAAAGTATATATATATATGTGCAATAAATGGACATGAATGTTTTTCTTCAGTGATGCCAAAAGATATTTTGTAGAGAACAATCATTGTATCTGCACTTCCAGTGAGAAGCTCAACAAAACCGTCACTGTCATCGTGATGAACAGCACGATTAAGGCATTTGTGCTTAGTAACTTAACCATGTACATTATGAGCAGAGCACACCTCTGCCAGAATATATCAACAGTTATACCGTGTCCCTTGTCACAATTTACCAGGTGCAGCCAAACACCAAATCCACACGCATATTGTGCATGACGCACACTCGGTTCAAGTCCTCATATTAGGGTCTTTCTGAAATCGCACAAAGGCTGCTGGTGCTTAGGCCCCTTTGTGCGATACTTGTTAGCCCAACAGCGCCGTTCTTCAGCCTGCGGCGTGTGTGTCTGTGTTTAATGAATTACGTGTTAATTATATGGCGGTTATATTGACGAGCAGAATGGCAGCTGCTGTGGCAGAGGCATGATGGGTTATTGTCCTCATGAGAGAGCGGAGGACCCGTTTGTTCTGATTGCCCCTAAACGGAGCACGCTTAACCCTCGGCGAGCACACGCTGTATGCCTCTGTGAGCTCCGCGGGACATCGCGTAAATCAGCGCACGCTTCCCCGTTGAATACTTCAGGAAAAAAAAATAGCTTGCCCACATGTGGTATGTGAAGGGGCAAAGGCAGGATCTATAAATCATGGGGGTACAGGACAGATCAAGATTATTTACGTGTGATAATATGCGACTGCCTGTATTAATTAATCTGCGTGTTTGTGTACACACACACATTGAATGTAAAGTAGTGGGTAGCGGAAATGTAATGCCTAGCGCAGAGCACTAAAATACTGGGAACCTGGGCAGGATTCCTGATATTGCCCTAAGTACTCTTTGGTTTCTACCTACGTGACTTTGCCGAAAGAACCAAAGAGTATGGATTCCTGCAGTCACGAAAGCTTCAAATCAAGATTGCCCTAAGTGTTTATTTCATCATCATCATCAATAACCATAGTATACCCACTGCTGGATGAAGGGCCTTGCTCACGGCGCAGGCCTATCATGATATCGCGACGCAGATTTCAGTCTTTGGCCCTTCCAATTGAGCCGATCTCTGTGCTGTCTTGCTCGCTCGGCAACTCCGTGTGATGCACTCCTGAAACCGGAGACTCGCGTTTGGTCGCTGCAGAGAGTTTGAGAATCCCACTTCTTCCGCTTACACTGTTAACACTGCCTCACCGAGGCCAAAGATGTCGCTATTTATCTCTCTCGATTCCCTATCCAGTTCAGCAAGGTTTGGTTCTTCAGATAGAGCACATGCTTTGTATGTGTCGTTGATTGAATACAATAGCAGTCTGTAAAACGAGAAAAGAACAACAAAAACGAGTGAGAATAAACAAAAAATCGGAGAGCAATATATGTAATTGAGGAAATTGTTGGAGCATGACAGCAGTGAAAAGGAGGTTGATGATTGGCAATTCGCAGATGGTTGCCTTCATGCAGAGCTATATAATCCGTATCTCATGACAGAGATAGACTTTTACAATTAGTGGAGGAATGTTATGCAGATCTCTGTAGCAAAAACAATCATATCCCAGGATTCACACTGTTATCAGACAAAGAAGAAAAATGACCAGATTGTAATTGAAAAAGTAAGCACTGCCCATCTCGGTATGAAAAAATGGAGATCCTGGACCAGATGCTCCGAATATCATCGTAAATTAAGTAGGACCAGTTGTTGGAACATCATAAACAACCGTATTTACTAAAACAATTACACAGAAATTAAATATGAGAATTGTGGAATAATTTCTCATTAATTATTTGATACAAATGGGGGTGCTGAAACTGACCTGAACTAGATACCATTAGTCTCTTAATTGCACACACACACACACATATATATAATTTCTTAATAAATGATTGGAACCAGAATAATGGATAAATTAGAGGCCAGCCAACCACGTGAGGAAGACGATTTTTATTATAATATATTTCTACCAGCAACTACGCGCATAGTATCAATCGTATTCTGGAAAGGGCTCGTGAATATCAATTATCATGACGCCGAGCGTTCGTAGACTATGAAAAGGCATTTGACTCGGTGAAAATTGATGCAGTCGGCCTGGTACAAAACAAACCGTTATTCTATCCTTGGCTACAAACAAGCCAATCGGGATGTAGTTGAGGAAATGCTAACAGAAATGCACCATCGCGTTTACTTCCCGTGCTATTTTATCGCGATGATCCGTGGAGTATAAACCCACTGCGGTCTGCGCTCCTTCAATGGAGGAGGAACAGCAAGACGACGCCGACTCTCTCTCTCTCTGCTGAAGCCCTCTCGTCGTGGCCAGCAGACCTCTCGACATTGGCATTTAGCTCCTGAAATATTGTTGCCACGCGCAAGAATAGAATTGAAATGTCATTTATCCGCTTTGTCGCACGTGACAAATTATGTGATATGCTACTGAATTCATTGATTTCCCTTACAAAATTAAATGTTATGAAACGCTATGCCAAACATTTGCTAGTGTTCAATGTAAAGCAATTATGCCACATATGGAAAGGCTAAACAAAAAAAAAACATCGTCATTAAATTACATTTAATAATTGCATTTTTAAAGGAGCCGGTGTATCAATGCTGACCTTCATGGTTTCGATGTGGCCGTGTAATTTCTGGCATATGTTGGGAAGCCTGAGGGCTTAGAGAAGTGGAATCGTGAAATATATTCCCAATAAAGGCGAGCTTATGGGCTCAGACACCGCAGGCCTCCTCTGAATGCAGTGCAGAGTTTAGTCCTTTCATCTCGAAAGCCGTCCTACGTATGGCTGCATATCAAAGGAGTCCTCATTATTCACTTGGTCTCCTATTGACCGATATGTCAACGAGAAAAAGTCTCCCTCCAAATATCCTTCGCTTGCCTGTTTAATTTCATTTACATACAGTCCATCTATCCCACTCCAAAAAAATATCACTGCCACCTCTCACCCTCGCATCGATCTCGATTCTACACATCAGGAGGTTGTGACTTACGGTCTGGCATAGCCTTCACAATGCCCTTTGTGTTTAGAATGTTTCGGTATATTTACATATAGTACGAATTTTAATGCTGTTGATAAGTGCATTCCTTCATCAAGCAGGCATTCCACCCATACCCAAATATGTTGTGATAAACGAGCAATCCCGAAAAAAACTGTTCAGTTTTCAAACCACAATGGTGTTTTCTCTCGCCTTTATCGCTTCGATGTGCCGTGATTGATGGTGGGGACGGGAGGGTGGCATATGCCCTTCATAAACGCAGATGATGCGAAATGAGGTAAACGGCGTGTTCCTGTTTGCGGGTGTCACGCGGCGGTGGCGTTGCGGGCGCTGCGGTCTCTTGAACAATGGTGGCACACCGTTCCGGTGTTGCGCGAGCGTTTGCACTTTAATGAAGCCGGCTTCAATCAAGGCGCGCGCGCGTGTGATATTTCAACCGCTTTTAATTGATATTTAACCTTTAGCCTCAGGTCTTTTTTTTTCATCTCATTAATGGACACGTGATATAATTGAGAATAATTGGAAGGTAAAATGTGAATACCGTTGTTTCTAATGGAATATGGAGGAAATGTCGCAAGAGGTTTTGTGCTCTCGGGTGTCCTTGTGCAGAGCGATGGTTTTTTCTGGGTTGCTCTGACAGCAGTCACGATGTCACATCATTGGACCATCCAGAAATGACAACATAAGCCACGGCCTTTCACCCTTCAAGAGTATATATTATCTCAATCTCCGACGTGTAAAAAAGCTCTTTGTGCAGCTCCGCAAACTCATGAGCAATTTTACATTTATCTTTATACCTGGGAAGCCATCGGAAGGAAGAGACCAATATCAATATAAATTTAAATGGGCTTCTTTCGTACCCTCGTGGTGGCGCACTTCTGTGGCCCGGTGCCTTGAACGGTGGACTTGGTGGCTCATCCCGAGACGAGATGCCTGGGAAGGGTCAATGCAGTAGGTGTTTGCACAGAGGATCCACAATTTGGGCATTATGCCCTCATTTTGGGTCCCACGGTCGTGAGTTCGATCCCGACCCTGACGCCTGCTGTATATTTGGAGTCTGCATGGTCTCTCTCTCCCCCTGTGGTCGCGTGGATTTTTCTCCAGGTCCTTCGGTTTTTTCCTCCACATTTAGAATCGACACGCGTTTAGAATACATATATGGCTGCAGTAAATTTCCAAACGATAGGCCACTTCATTGAGCTCTCATTTGTGGCCAGGTTGCTTCTGAAAAAAGCTGCATTTCTCAGTGGGCCTTACCTGGTAATTAAAAAATAGTTTTTTAAAATTTATTTTAGATTTGCATTTCACAACATTTCATGGTATCATAACTTTAAAGGGACATTTTCCACGCGTGCCGCCCGCAGGCATTTGCGCGGAGAACGCGGAAAAGGCGTGCAAGCTGGCGCAGGAGACGGACTTCGAGCGCTCGCTGCGCAAGGCCGCACGCCGCATGGCCGCCTCGCTCAACCCCAGGCGGAGGCTCCAGCGCAGCGCCGCCGCCGCTGTCACCGCCGCGACTCCGCCTGCCGACTCCCCCAGCACGAGCGAGCCCGCCGAATCGCACGCCGGTGAGCGCCGCGCGTCCTCGCGCCTCAAACCGCCCGCCGGCTTCGCCGGCTGCGCGCGGGGGCGTCGTCTCCGCCCGTTGCCTTGTCCGCCGTACCGTCGACCGCTGCTCTCTGGGCACGTTCGGAAAAGAAAAGAAGGGAAAGAAAATATTAGGTTCTGGAAGCTCGTGCTGGATTCTGGGTTTGCATCCGTTTCTGATCATTGATCGGTGTTCTCCGCTACTAACTTGCACCAGACATGAGTGGAAACAAATGATGCTGGCTGTTAAGATCAGTGGGGAAGGGGGTGAGCGGTAGGAGGCAATCGAACGGGAAGTAAGAGTACGGGGCTCAAATGAGACAATGAGAAGATGGGGGGGTAGGGGGGGCACAGGTTGTGAGCTCGAGAACAGGCAGGAGGGTGCAGGGGAAGGGCGAGGGATAAGACGGCGGAGGGCTGATTGCTTCGTGAGCTCGGAGGGGGTGGGGAAATGGACTGGTACATTATCCCCAAAACGCTGGCCGCGTCCCACAACTGCAAATGAACAAAGAAGCGCGTGCAAGTGCGCTGTTGATCACATGGCCATGTTAGAATCGGAATCTTTTATTTTTTGACTGGGGGAGGAATCCGATGAGCTATGAAGCTCTTACAACAACAAACACAATGCAGTACAAAAACACAATAGGAGTGCAAATTTGAGATAACGGTAAGCAAGTCACGAAATATAAGCGAATAAACTAAATAATGATTTCTATAAGTCAGATACATTAAGTTTGGGCAAGGCAGCAAAAACAACAACAAAACGGTCCCAGACCGCACAATGAAAACACCACGCAGCAGTAGTCCCTGAATATAACGGCACACTGATCTATCGTTACACAGGTAGCTGAAGCACAGCCCGTCGCACGCACGCTTGCCACTTTGACACTGCGCTGAGCGCACGCACACACTCCTCGCCGTTGTTGAGTTCTGACAGACACTGCACTGAGCGCACGCACACACTCCTCGCCGTTGTTGAGTTCTGACAGACACTGCGCTGAGCGCACGCACACACTCCTCGCCGTTGCACGCACGCGCTCCGCGCCGTTGTTGAGTTCTGACAGAAATTGCCGCGTTCACACACCGACGTGTAACGTTGCTCACAGTGCATCGTATCCAGTAGCCCTGGGACTTCCCCTCGTCTGCAGTATTTCGGATCGCAGGGATATTTTTGCGTGCGAGCGTCGGGGCCCGTACGGTGGGTGATGTCGCGCACGGTCGGCATCGTCCCCGCCGCAGAAGCCTGTAGAAGGGAAGCTCTAGACGCTGAAGATTCACCCCAGGGCACACTCGGTCACATCCCGAGCCACTTGCATTCACGACCTGCTTGGCGCACGTTGGGGAGATTCATCCGAAACGCCACCCAGTCCTTGAAGCCTCAGCTGTGTCGCCTGACATCAACCTTTGTTCTTCAGTGGGAGAGGGGCAATAACTTTGCCCGAACAGTGGTGAGTTTTGCTTTACGTGCTGGCATGCCCCAAAAGGTTCCATATGCCACACCCCATGTTCATCGGGAATTCACTCTTAGCCCAATGGATTGCCAATTAGCACGGTTGGTTACGTACGTTGCGAAAGAAGTTCAACACACGTACATACATCTACAAAGGCAGGCCCAACACAGGGCTCTTTTTATTCGTGAATTTGCATCTCCCCCCTGTGGGCCATCATGTTTACCACTGGAAAATAAGGCGCATACAGTACGTCTAAATATCTCACCTTGGTGTGGGCCGTGGGGGTGCCCTTTTGCAGCAGCAGCAGCAGATTGACGGTGGCTGTGCCGTCAGCCAGGTGGTGCTCATTTTAAAGACATCACGCCAATGTTGAGGCATCGGACCGTGTTCGTTTTCGAATTCACAGCTGTGCGTGCGTGCGTGTGGTCGCAACCCCCCGGCGCCCTACCAACTGAGGTGTGGCCGAACGACATTTGTTCTGTGGGCGACGGAACGCCGCTCCCGGGTTACCCGCGGCAAACGCCTCACACACCCGCCGCTCGCAGACGAGATCTTCAGCAGCGCCTGATGTTAGCGGTGTTGGTATACGCATATTTATAAAAAGCACAAATGACGAATTGAGGATGACGCTGCGTATATACTGCGAATTAGATATCATTGTTTTAAGGTCACAGAAGCAGGTTGGGTCGCCACCAGCCGAGCAGTTGGCTGCCTGATCTCGCTGTGCACACACACACACAGTGGCCAACACAGGGGGATAATTCCGTGATTTGAAATCACGGCCGGTGACATTTTTAGCAAAACCACGGCGCAGCCAATTTACGATGTCAGCCCATTTGCATGCTGAGATTTATGCACGTGGGCCGGCGGAGGTATTAAGGCGTACCCGGTAAGTGTCCGCATTTTTAATTGCTTCGTCCATCCGATGCCTTAGATGTCCCCGAGGGAAACGGGGAGAAGCTTCGCCAGCATTTGGCACCCAGTGTCTGTGCCGCCGGCCGAAACGCACCGGTCTGCGCTTCTGGTGAGTGTAGTGCGAGGAGCAGGTGGCAGGAAGGAGGGGGCATGCGCATTAACCCCACGGTCGCGAGATGTGAACCACCTCGCCGGTACGCGGGAGGTCGTGGGTTCGATCTCGACCCTGATGTCTGCTGTATATTTGGAGTTTGCATTTCCTCCCCGCGGTCGCATGGTTTTTTCACCGGATTCTCCGGTTTTTCCCTCCACATTTAGAATAAATATGCGCTTCGAGCGTTTGGCTGCTATAAATTTAAACGTGCCACTTTGTTGGGTTACCATTTGTGGTCAGGTTCCTTCTGAAAAAGAGCTATATAGCTCAGTGGGCCTTACTTGGGAAAACATATTTATAGTTATTTACAAAGTGTATGCGTAAATTGGCACGAATGTTCTATTCATGGCCACGGTAAAAACCCACCCATGGGGGAGAATGGGTAACGGGCCTCTGCAATATTTTGCATAAATCCGAGACATTGCCGCTACCCTGAACCTAGACTTCGTACATAAACCATAATCACAGTCGAAACTGTGACCTAAGCACCGTCCCTAATGCCAATGCTTACTCCACACGTAACATTGGCCTTACCCCTACCGCTGACTTTTGCTCCGACTCACTTCTATTCATTGCCTAACCCCAAACTGACCATGGCCTTAGTCTTGTGTTCCAGTTAAGTTGGAGGCAAGGTTGGTGGCTCATGCGGAGATGTAACCATGGCGTGGTGATACCAGCCTCTGCAGCATTGAAGTGCCTGTCGGCAGCAGCACAGCAAACGGGTTACTGACATTTGATCGTGCTGTGCGTGAGTCTTCTCACGTACAAAGTGCTTTCTCTGGGTACTTTGGTTTCCGTTCCTTGTTGCTAGATACTCGAGAAACGAATTTTGGCAAACGTCTCACGCAGTAGGCTCTCTGTTAAGTGTGCACGACTCGGACTTGATTCGAAGCTTTCGTGACTGCAGGAATTACTCTTTGGTTTTTTCGGTAAAGTCACGTAGAAATAATAAAATAACATGATAGCGTACGACGTTTCGGTTGCAACACAAGCGGCCATCATCAGGTTACAGAAGAGCTAAATTTACGAGAGAGAGGAAACACATAACCCCAGATGTATATACAGACACCCAAGTAGGGGGGAACTAACACAGATACAACAGGGGACACAGAGAGAGAAGCATACCAAACAAACAGGGTTTAGCAAAATTTGGAAACCATATAAAACAACACAGACGGTCGGTCAAAACACAATTAACGCATAGTCTGGTTGATTACGCTATTTCAAAGATTGCTAAATTGCAAGTTAAGTATGAAATTAAAAATACAGACCGCGCACTATGCATTAATTGTGTTTTGACCGACCGTCTGTGTTGCTTTATATGGTTTCCAAATTTTGCTAAACCCTGTTTGTTTGGTATGCTTCTCTCTCTGTTGTACCCTGTTGTATCTGTGTTAGTTCCCCCCTACTTGGGTGTCTGTATATACATCTGGGGTTATGTGTTTCCTCTCTCTCGTAAATTCAGCTCTTCTGTACCTGATGATGGCTGCTTGTGTTGCAACCGAAACGTCGTACGCTATCATGTTATTTTATTATTTCTTATTTATACGTGACTTTACCGAAAAAAACCTAAGAGTGTGCAAGACTCGGTGAAGCTCTCTTGGGCAAAGATTTTAAATGACTTTATTTTAATAGCTAACATTAGTCCCACCCACCCAAGTGCTAATCCTAACACTAACTAACCTTAAACTCGGGTCCTACGCTAAACCATGAAGAATACGACACTAGATTACAGGACCATCCATGCCAACATTCATTAATTGACAATGAGTGCCATCATTGTCCGTATAAAATAATGACTACGCAAATAATGTAGCATGAATGTTTACATGACAATTCACCGAATGCCACTGATGGTCATGTTTAGCAATCTAAACTCTACAATGAATTGATGGCATTGTGCCAACATTTATTGTGATTTATTTTATTTTCTAGAAAGCACATAAGCTTGACTGATCAGATTAAATAGCAGTTGATCAAAAACTCAGTTCTGGCATTCGGAATGTTTGCCAATGTGTGTGAAAAGGAGCCAAAATGCCTGTAAAAACCCACACGTGTAGTGGGGATAACCCTCAAATGCCGCACATGTCAGAAACTCGGTTTGCTTGCTGCAATATCTCCCAAAAGGCACGACCTCACTGCCCATCAGGTGGGTACCTTACACCCCACGACTCCATCTTTGTGTAATCCACCAACCCCACCTCCAAGCCATTGCATTCCAGTCGTGCATCACACACCTGGAAGAGCAGCGCCTCAATGGCGTCGCCCGTAAAGTAGCGAGCGGTCGTATTCGGCGTGGAGATTTTATTTTCGTTGACAAATCTTGTCACTCAAATGCGCCATCACATTAAAACTCAACAGTTAGACAATTCTAAACGATGAGAAATAAATATATTTACGTACTATCTACAGTGTATGTGTGTGTCATGGCCATAGCTGCTGTGTTTGTTGGGTACACTTTGTAAATGTTCAGCTGGAGCAATACCGGCAAAGCGAAATGCAGCGCAACTGCGAGGTTAATGTGGCACCCACACCTCCCATCTATCACGTTTCGCTGCGTTTATTCCCTTAGATCGGTCTGCTTTGTGACATAAGTCAAAGCGTCACTAGCACTGAAAGAAATGAGGTTACAATGAGCCAAGCTGGGGGTCTTGAGCCACTGGTGAAGTTCCACTTTACTACGGCGTGAACTGCACTTTAATGAGAGCAACTTCTGGTAACATGCCTGGCGAAATCTCACCAGGAAAGCCAAAATCAGATCCAGAATCTTTACTTATCCTGGAAAAATCGGATGAGCTATAAAGCTCTCTTTCACAGATTTCAGAAAGTTACAACAACAAACATAAAAAAACCGATAGGAGGGCAAAGTATCGGAATGGAAAGCAAATCACAAAAACTAAAAATTTAAAATCGATGAAGTATTTAATTTCAAATTGCATAAGTTCACCAATTCCCAAGTTTGGGCAAGGCAGCAAAACAACAACAACGAGTCCCAGACCACGCCAAGACAACACAGTCCCTGAATTAAATTGCACATTAAACTTGCACTATCGATACATGGGTAAGCAGGAAAGTCACATTGGCAAATGCAGTTGTACCCAGCACTAATCTTCCACTTCAGGATATTGCTTGAAGGAAGATTAGTGCTGGAGCGATGTTCGATTTAGTTGACCCTGGATTCTCAAGCTACCAGTCCCGAGTTTTACCCTTTGTTGTGATGGACTCGTCGTGGATGCATTCCAATGGCTCTGTACAATTCCAAATGTGCTCAGTGCGCAATTTTAATCCGTGCCAACATTGAGTCTCGCATAACGTGGTCTGCATGCTGAATGTGAGTGGTGGCATGTTTTGGTAAAAGTAACCGTATGACACGTCATGTTGAGCCACAGTCATTTAATATGATGTATGTATGTTAGACTTCTTTCGCGCCGTACATAGCCAACCGTGCTAATCGGCTCCCTACCATGGTGCACTCATGGTTGGGAGCCGAGTTTGATCTCGGTCGTGATTTACACGAGTCGCCGAGGGGTAATGTCTCAGTTGCTGCTCAGCCCAGGAACGGTCCAATTGTGTGCGACAGTCATTTGCATGGCACGGGGTGCGTGGGCTTAAACCACCCTGCCCCCCCGCCCCCCTCCATACCCTACACAGGATTGGGATACATTTGGTTATTATCAGTTAAAATATTTTTTTTTGTTATTCTTCCCAGCCATGTTCTTAACACAAGAACCCAATCCTGTGTAGAAACAAACATTCGTAAAACTTATTTCATTACTGAGCATGGATATAGGTGAAAGTCAATCCTGCATAAAAAAAAAAATCTCGCTGGGAAATCGAAGTCGGCAAGCGACGCAAGGGCATCATCCCACCCCTGCATGGACACTGCGATATCCCTTATCGACGGGTTCCGGATGCAAGCCTCAGGTCACATCACGCGGCGCGGCTTGAGGAGTGTGGTCAGTGTTTCGGGTGCCGGACCAGCTGGCGAGGGCTGCCATGGGAACTGAACATCCGTGGAGGAATAAAAAAAAAGAGCTTTATAACTCATCGGATTTCTCCAGGATGAATAGAGACTCTGTTTTCTGAAAGCGGCAGGCCCAGCCGGCGTCTGGTACCAGGGCCGCACGGGCCCCCCCGTGGTTGTGGAAACGTGATGTGGAGGTGTTTTACGCAACAGCTCACAGGCCTCATTAGAGCCCAAGGGTCTTATTTTCATTTTAAAAGGCAGCATTGTAAATTCTCCCGTGATAAAACGCCACGGGAAGTTAAATGCACCTGATTTAGCATTCACGAGTGGTTCCCCTGTAGAGGAAGTGAACATTTCCATCGTGACATGTATGTACGTATGTTGTAGTTCCTTTGCAACCGTAGGTAGCCAGCCGTGCTAATCGGAGGTGATCTCCGCTACGTATTCGACAGACTGCCCGCACAGCAGCCACCAGACTACATTCCCACACTGTTTTCCATATCCCATCAAGCATGAAAACTGTACCACTGTCTATTGAGATTTAGCCTCAGAAGCCAGGATGATAATCTGTAATATATTATATTTATATATATATTTAAGTACAGTGAGGGAAAAAGTATTTGATCCCCTGCTGATTTTGTACGTTTGCCCACTGACAATAAATGATCAGTCTATAATTTTAATGGTAGGTGTATTTGAACAGTGAGAGACTGAATAACAACAACAAAATCCAGAAAAACGCATGTCAAAAATGTTATAAATTAATTTGCATTTTAATGAGGGAAATAAGTATTTGACCCCCTCTCAATCAGAAAGATTTCTGGCTCCCAGGTGTCTTTTATACAGGTAACAAGCTGAGATTAGCACTCCTTTTATACAGGTAACAAGCTGAGATTAGGAGCACTCCCTTTAAGAGTGTGCTCCTAATCTCAGCTCGTTACCTGTATAAAAGACACCTGTCCACAGAAGCAATCAATCAATCAGATTC